TGAAGCTATTCAGAGGCCCTGTTTTCAACAAACCTGAAGAATTCGGACAAATGGTTGAACCTCATCCTACTAAACCCTAAAACGAACTGCAATCTATTTTGGATTTTTTTCAAATGATCAGTAAATAGACTTATTCATAATCTATGAATCTAAAGGTAAGACCACCCATTTGCCAAAGAAATAATATAAACATAATAATAATCCTGATTAAAAAAAACATTACCAAAATTACAGCAAAGCACTTGCCTAAATACAGCCTTTTCCTCTCAATTGTATGCCTTCAAGAAATTATCAACCAATTTAAAAAATGAAATTAACCAGCTACAGAAACGAAAAACTATTTGAAAGTATTCGCTTTAATTGAGCACAACAGCTGAGCGATGCTTACCCTTAGAATCAATAACACAAACAATCCAGTTTGCACAAACTGTCAGAGCAAGATGTGCTAGCTTAACCACAATGTAATAGTAAAGCCATATCAAAAGCAAAATCCTTTTTTCAAACCTAATGCTAGCTTAATCTTAAGGAGGATTTCACAGCAGTTAGTCTCTTGAGGAAATACATAATTAAGTAGTTTTTTAGCATATTTAATTAGACCCCAAACTCTTCCCTGTCCCCTTCTCTCCCCAATTATGTACCATGTGCCCAAGAGACCTAAGCAACTCAGTTAATTATGTAAATAAGGCAGGCATTATTCCCAAGAAAAGCATTGTGAATAAATATAGGGGGGAAATCCTACATATTTTAGTGGCTTTAACAAACCCTTGAAAAATACATGGGAAAACCTTAACATTTGAGGTAAAAAGCATGGTGTTCAATGACAAGATGGTGAATCATTTTAAAAGGACACTCATTTCACCTCTTAAATATGAGCTGAATAAGAATAAAATAATTTTAAGTTACAACAGCAACAAAAATTTAGTGCTGAACATCAAATGATTTATGGGAAGAATCAATCTGGAAATTATTAAAGTTGACTCTCACAGAAAAGGCTTTATTATCAAGGGGTTGACATGATCTTAACTCCAGAGGTAGCCATGGTGCTGTTATAACTACTACAATCCCATTATTATGCAATCACAAAATGCTAATTTGATCATTTTGAGGTGTTATTTGAATAGTCATTTTAATTTCTAGGTTACAAAAAGGCTTGACTCAAGTATAATTCTCTATTAATCATTGAGATGTCATTGAACATCATATTGATGCATTTCACAAAGATAAAGAAAGACTAATTTAATATGTACAGTACAATATCCTTCAAATATTAGCCACTTTCATTACATATCTGCCAAATGCATCAATATTAAAAATAGATGAGAACAAGGGTTTAATTATATTTTAGCAATTGTAATATGTAGGGTAATAATAAAATAGCATCTCATCACAAGACAGACTTATATAAATCTTTCTTAATCAATGTGTAATGGTGACTGCCCCACATTCTTTGATTACAAAGAGACTTGATATGACAAAAGCATCCAGAGTCTTAAGTGTAATAAACACACATCTAGCAAAAATAATTACTTTGTGACTGACGAAATGGCTTCTTTACATTTTTTTTTAAATTTCTCCTTGTTACTTGGGAAGTTAGATAAATACCAAGCAGAGATCACAACCTTTTGACAAATTCAAACCTAAATATTTATATAAAAGAATCTAATAGTATGATGATGATGACAATTCTAGAATATAATATTTTAGAAGAGCTGTGCTATTTTGTTGGCATCAAAGCATTACCACATATTAATTATTCCAGCAGTCACATTCTCAAACAATGAGGTGGTTTCAGGCAATGGAAGAAAATAAATTCCAACCATGTAACCTAACCCGGTAACTTCTCACATATCCAAATGAATCAACTTAGTATTTAAGAAAAAAATTCCTGCCGAAACCGGGTTGGCTCAGTGGATAGAGCGTCGGCCTTTGGACTGAAAGGTCCCGGGTTCGATTCCAGTCAAGAGCATGTGCCTTGGTTGCGGGCACATCCCCAGTAGGGGGTGTGCAGGAGGCAGTTGATTGATGTTTCTCTCTCATTGATGTTTCTAACTCTCTATCTCTCTCCCTTCCTCTCTGTAAGAAAATCAATAAAATATATTAAACAAAAAAAAAAATCCTCTACAGCCCAACATGCCGTTTTCCAGAGGCTGACATTCTTGTCCCCTAGGGGGACCCTTCCTTCTCTTTGTTGCGTTCCACAAGAAGAAAAAGGAGAAGGCAGGAGGGCAGGCTTAAAGAGAAGCTTTACACTAGTCAATACAATCTCTAATTTACTAAAGGTACTTTTATGAGCATATTATTATCTTCATGTTACCTATGCAATTTGTTTCCAGTTCTTGTTCTCCTTCCCCACCAACATCAATAACCTTATATGCTGATGGCCATATATGCTCACTTAAGCCTATGGAAACATGCTGCATTGTATGAAGTGAAAGTGTTTTGGGTTTCTGAATATATATTTTTATTGATTTCAAAGGGGAAGGGAGAGGAAGAGAGAGAGAAACATCAACGATGCGAGAGATCCATTGATTGGCTGCCTCCTGCATGCTCCACTCTGGGGATCGAGCCTACAATCCGGGTATGTGCCCTGACTGTGAATCAAACTGTGACCTCCTGGTTCAGAGGTCGATGCGCAACTACTGAGCCATCCTGGCTGGGCAGGTAAAAGTGTTTTGAAGAGAAAACACCTTGCTTGAGGATGACAACTGACAGCAGCAGCACATAACCAGAACTTGAATATGAAAAATACAAACATAAGCAAAGAGCTGTGTGTTTATTAATTGCAATGGTGTTGAAATAAGACAAATTGTGCATAACCCCTCCAGGCTATCACTCAACACCCCTATGCCACTGCCAGACAGCAAACATAATGGCAATAAAAATAAAAATCAACTACTACTGTCTTCTGAAAGAGGCCCAGCTCAGCACAGAAACACAGAATGGCAGGGAATGGAGCAGGGGGTGGGGTGCACATGGGACTGTACTCCACCTAAAATAGTGGCCATTTTGCTAAAAGGAAAATAATAAACTAATGTGAATTATTGTAAGAAAAGTCTCCCCACAGCAAGTGTCCAAAAAGATTCTCTACAATGAAATTCTGACAAGCAAAGCAATGGCCTGGAATTCTGAAATGAAGCTCTAAGCTTAACAATTCCTGTAGTTATGATACAGAATCAGACAAGACAATGCTGCCTCCTGGAACCACTTTTCAGGCTTTCCCAACACAATTAGACTTTGAGGAATCACAACCCACTAACCCAAACCCTCAAATACACTTGGGAGATTACAAAAAAGAAAACAATAAAACACAGATACATATCTCAGGACTGGTTTTGTTTTAATCCTTCTCAACATATTACAGAAAACCCAGTTCAGACCTTTTTAAAAATATGAGTGACATTCTATAATTATCTGAGTCATTTTTTAAAACCCAAATCTAATAATAATAATAATACCAATAATCCCACTTGATTGAGGTTTTTACTTAGAGCAGTGATTTTCAACCTTTCCCATCTCATGGCACACATAAATTGCTAAAATTCTGCAGCACACTAAAAATATATATTTTTGCCAATCCTCAAAAAAATAGACATAATTTTGACTGACTTACAAAAATATATATGATAATAATTGCCTACCCCTTTTGCTCCAAAGTGACTTTTTAAAAACTAGGTGCCCATGCCCAGCCAGTGTAGTTCAGTGGTTGAGTGTCGACACATGAACCACAAGGTCCCAGTTTGATATCTGGTCAGGGAACATGTCCAGGTTGCAGGCTTGATCCTCAGTGTGGGGCATGCAGGAGGCAGCCGATTGATGATTCTCTCGCATCATTGATATTTTTATCTCTCTCTCCATTTCTCTTCCTCTCTCTGAAATTAATAAAAACATTTTTTAAAAAATAACCATCCATCACACATCCTGCATTGATGATGCTCAGTGAACATTCCTGTTAGAACTAGATGTATCCCTGGCGAGAGTTTGCCACGGTAGCCCACTGCTTCCTTTCTAAGAGCATCAAACCCAATAGTATTTCTGCCCAAAGTGGTTGAGGTTGATCAGTGAACAGAATGGGCCTTTCATGTCAGAAATACTGTGACAGAAACATTGCCAAAGCCTCTCCTGGTACAGTCTCGATGCCCCGCCACACCTGACCTCCCTGCCTTGGTTGGCTTCCAGACTGGTGGCCACCGGACTGGCTTCTGGTTTGGGTTTGGTTCCTTTGGTAAAGACGGTGTCCTGAACACATTTCGGAGCAAAATTTGTGTGCACAGCGTGGCTGGAATGTTCGTTTCAAAGGCTGTTTTAAATGGGTTTCCACGTGCAGAAGTGAGTTTAGTACCATAAGCCTGTGATGTAGATTCGCTTTCTGTTACTTGAAGACATTCGTATGTACGTTTTGTTTAACCTCAGATATGTTTAATACAAATAAACAACTGTATCAAAATTCTAATAAATTTTGTTTAAAAATCTTAAAAAAAAATTAATAATCAGGTGTCTATACTTGTATACTTGAATTTTTGGTACCAAGAATTAACCAATTAAACCAACTTTATTATGCAGTGACCAAACAAGATGCAACTCTATTATATAACCTATAAATTTATGGTTCAAGATAGAGCATTCACACAGATGGCTATTGTTGTGTTGGCTGTTGTCTTTTTGACAACCTAAGGGAAAAGAGGCCAGGGCCTCTGACTAAGTTGTCAGGTATTGCATGTTTCAAAAATTCTTGAAACACACTGGTTGAAAATCACAGACTTGCCCTCGCCTATGGACTTAAGGGTCCCAGGTTTGATTCTGGTCAAAGGCACAGGCCCAGGTTGCAGGCTTGCTCCCCAGTGGGGGACGTGCAGGAGACAGCCAATCTAGGATTCTCTTGCATCATTGATGTTTCTATCTCCCTCTCACTCTTTCTCCCTCTCTGTATAAATAAAAATATATGTTTTTAAAAAAGAAAGAAAATCACGGACTTAAAGACACAAAGTTTTATTTTTACTTACCTTGCCATCAAATTTGGAATACTCATTAAAGGGGTTATTCAGCTGCAGAGGGCACTGCTCTAGGCGTACAGATAATATGGACTGCTTTCCAGAACTTGGAGATTTCTCTTTGAGGGACTTTTTTTCAAACAGTGACTTTAACTCTTGGGCTGTGATACAAGAGGAAGACAGAAACATCTTTGTGATTGCACATAGAAAGACAGCCAGTCCACCTTCCCTAAAAAGTCTTCTTTGAAACCTAAGCAAGGAGGATCCAGGGACATATGCAGGTATAATGTGTGAAAAAAAAAAAAAAAAAAGTTTCATATACACTTCAATAAGAAACACACAGGTCAGGATTGTTAATTCAACTAGGATTTAAGGACCGGGTTGGGGTTGGGGTTGGGGTTGGGGTTGGGGTTGGGGTTGGGTGAGTCAGACAAATCAACAAAGCAGCCAATCTGTAAGAAACACATTCATAGCTAGAGGACCCAAGCTTTTGCCTGGTTTTGCCACTACCAGGTGTGTAATCTGGACAATTCACTAGACCTTTCTGGGCTTGTCCAACTAGATAATTTTGAAGATCTCTCCTGACTCTAATATTCTGTGATTTTGGAATTATAGTTCCTCAAAGTCAAGGTGCACATCTTAATCCTCTCACAATCTCCAATGTCACCTAGCACAAAAATCTGGAAGACAAAGCTGATGAGGAAAAGGAGAGAGTATTTTAATAATAGTATGGGGGGTTCATTACGCCATTCTCTCTATTTTTGTATATGTTTTAAATTTTCTATAATAAAAAGTTGTGTTAAAGGAAATTTAAGCTAAAAATAAAAAAATAGGTAACATATCACATTACCATCACTACTCTATGAAATCACTTCGCTGACAGTAACTATTACATTTCTTACAAGATCTTCCATGATCTAGGGAGATCTGGGGGAGATAAGAGATCAACCGAAGGACTTGTATACATGCATATAAATACAATCAATGGACACAAAACTCTGGGGAGGGAGGGTATATATGGGGGGGAGGGCATTGATGAGATATATACACAGATAATAATTTAATAAAAACAAAACAAAACACAAGATCTTCCATGATCAAGTTTCCTACTACTTCTTTGATTCCACTCTTCCCCTTACTTACTCTACTCTGACCAATAAGAATCCTTTCCTTGCTATTCCTTGTATACATCAGGCACAATTCTGTCACAGAAACTTTTCATTTGCTGTCCCCTTGTCTTAGAACACTCACCTCCCAATATCTGGGTGGTTCACTCCTTCTCTGCTCAACCATCACCTTCCCAAAGAGCCCTTTCCTGCAACTGAGGCACGTGCCCTTGACTGGAATCAAACCCACAACCCTTCAGCTAGCTTGTAGGCTGACACTCTATCTACTGAGCCAAACCGGCCAAGGCAAAAGATTTTTTAATATACATAAAAGAATAGATAGGAAATCATGGAAATGAGATGCAAAAAGGAGAAGTGGGATTTCTGGTTCTACAGGGTCATCATTTAGAAGCAAGCATTCTGAAAATCAGACCCATTGAGCACTCTCAGGTTTACAGTCATAGGAGAAAGCAAGAACCACTTTACATGCTGTGGTTCGGCAGAGAGAGACTGGCCTTCAGAGGCAGGCAGTGCTATAATACAAAGCATGGCGCTGGACGGCTCTGCCACTTCCTAGCCTTGTAACTTAGGTGAATTTAACCTCTCTGAGCCTCCATCTCATCTGTCTCATCTAATCAATGATACCTGCACCTTATACGATCAGTGCATTGGAGGCAATGCAGAAGAACTGCTTAGAACAGCACTAGATAGGTGTTGGTGATAATTAGTAATCATTAAGATCGTTAGTTTTATAACAGTCTACTACAGCAATGGAGTCAGTCAACAAAAATTTATTGGACATCTATTAAATGCAAGGTAGTACTGGGAGTTGCTGGGAAGGTATAGGAGGCAGACTGCAGACATGTCTTTGAAAGGAAAAAAAAAGTCTAGGAAACATGATATACACATTAGAAATTATTTTAATAGCACTTTATTTGGAATTTTTTAATGTTTTCTCTTATTGAGATTAAAGCTTTGAAAATACATAGTGTGATCAGCTTCTTAATAATACATTATCATATGAACATGTACTGCATATGCTAATAATACCAGTAACATAATGGTTTTTAAGCTAAAACAAAGAATTCGCATATATGCAACAGAGATTGTGACTGAGGCCATAATAAGGCCAGGTAAGATATAGGTTAGAACTGCCAAGAGAAATCTACAGCCCAGAGGCCCATCCAAATAGGTACCCCTTGGCTCTAAGAACAAGGTACTAGCATGACAGTGTGTACAGAATGTGCCTGCCTCCCACACATCAATCCCTGTGACCCAGACCTAAGAGTGGCACCCAAATGAAGAGTTCAAATCTCAAAACACAAGAGGTATCCACGCAGAGGATTAAAAAGGATGAATTAAGCCCTAACCAGTTTAGCTCAGTGGATAGACATCGGCTTGCGGACTCAAGGGTCCCGGGTTCAATTAAAGTCAAGGGCATGTACCTTGGTTGCAGGTACATACACAGTAGAGAGTGTGCAGGAGTCAGCTGATCGATGTTTCTCTCTCATCAATGTTTCTAACTCTTTATCCCTCTCCCTTCCTCTCTCTAAAAAATCAATAAAATTTTAAAAAAATAAAAACACTTGTATAATAATATACACTAGATATATAAATCTCATGTTAACAATGAAAATTATTTCCATTTACCTGATTGCTTAGAATTTCTTTCTTTCCACTGAATATTCTTGCATTTGATTTGGTTTTGTCTCTCTTTTCGAAGTCGTTCTAATCTTTGAGCTTGAAAAGAAATATTATAACTATAAGTTTGTCAATGAAAGTTTACTATAATATAAACAAAGACATAATTAACTACCTTTATATGAATAAAGATGTTTTATATTTATATGTCGGGAAAAAGTCATAAAATTTTAAAGGTGGCACCCCCGAAAAGCAAATACCAACAAAAACATGAAAATATTCTTGATTTATAATTGAAATTAGAGGATATAAAACATTAATAGAGATCATAAAGATAGTATTAACATGGAAGAGAATAATAAAATGTGAAAACTTCTGTGATTAATATGACATTTCATTATATAAATCATTAATAACGGTCTTAAAGGAATTTTAATGCACAAATGAACTGAAGTGAATATTACATTACAGGAATAAAATTACTGTTATGAATTACTCTATCCGTTTCAAAAATTAAAGATAAATGAACTCAGACTAGACTATTAAAGTTTTAAATATAAAATCCTTTATCTAAAAATCATGAAAATTATAAAATGTCAAAGCTATATAAATTAGCATAGCTTTTCTTCAGTGGGCTGAAATAGTTTATAGGTAGTAAAATAAATGATTTGTATCTTTGTAACATTAGTCAAATCTTAAAAAGAACAATTTTTCTTATACAAAATTTTAAGATATGCTGAAAGGATTAAAAAGTAAATTCCTTGGTCACAGGACACAATCTTAATTATATAAGTGCTATCTTAAGAATTCCAACAACAATAACAAATCATCACCTAAAATTATGCATTTGTGATTATATTACCACAGGCTGATTACCATAGGCAAAATCAGTTGAACCAATCTTTTAAATAAATATTGTCCAACATACATTAACAACATCCATATGGACCACAATGGAAAAGAAAATCACAATTAATGCAATCTCTTTAAATTTGTTTCCTATTGCACTTCCTATTGCAGTACAATGCTAACAAAAAAATAAATAAGTAAATTTCTCAAAGGTAGGAAATGATACACTCCTGCCTTAGCACTATGGTAGGGAAACACAAACTGATCTTGCCCGAAATGTAAACTATTCTGGCAAAAGCATTCTGACAATGCCACTGTATGTAACCAAATCCCACTCCATTCAATTGCAATTAATAAGTGTGAAGGGTACAGCTGAAGTAATATAATCATGAAGCTCTCAATTGAGCAGCATTCTCCTACTAAGATCCATTCAACTTGTCATATAAGATATCATCTCAATAACCTACAAGGAAGTCAGTTTCAACCAGAGAGCTGAGAATCAATGGTTCTAAATTATAGTCAAACCTTCACTCAAATCCCATTTTGATAAAAGTTCCTTTAGATACTAGAAAATGCTATTAATTATTTTCATCATGAGAACAAATTATTCTTTGTGGATGTCACAGAACACTGAATTGTGAACCAAAATCTTAACATGGCCTTCTCTGTAAATTGTAACCTGCTCTACCTGCAGTTTTCTTCAAGTAAGTATTTTCAATGTCCTACCACATCTCCTACCACTTTTCTTGGGAGCAACAGCAGGATACTGTTACTAATTAGATTCTATTTTCTGATTTATTGCCTTCCCACACACCCACAAAAAAAAAAAAAAAAAAAAAAAAAAAAAAAAAGTCTCCTAGAATACCCTGATATAGAACAATTATATATTCTAAATAATTTATCTCTCGCAGTAAAGGCCTTGGCTCATCACATTTCCCTTGAAATGCTTCCAAATAAATAAATAAATAAATAAAGCTGGACAATGGGCAATGATAAACTTTTTAAAACTAATGACTTAATATATATATCAAAGTTGAGTACTTTCAAGCCACAAAGATCTAAGTACAGAGATCAACTTAAGAAAAAAAGGTAATGTATGAAAAACAGGAGCACCTTTTCTAATCTCACACCCAATGTAGGAATTCCTACTAAAAAAGCAGCCTGGCCCTAGCTGATTTGGCTCAGTGGACCAAAGGTCCGGATTCAATTCCAGTCAAGGGGCATGCCTGGGGTTGCGGGCTCGATCCCCAGTGGGAGGCGTGCAGGAGGCAGCCAATCGATGATTCTCATCATTGATATTTCTCTCTCTCTCTCCCTTTCTCTCTGAAATCAATAAAAACATATTAAAAAAAAAAAAGCAGCCCCAGTAAACATTTAGCTATCTCCTTCTAATCTCCAACCCTTACAATTCCTCCAAGGGCAAGAACTGTCTCAGGCAGCAGCCCTCCTTGGCTGGTCAGCTGCCTCTCTAGAAGGTTTTGTATTGCTTGGCTTGTGTGGCTTAGCAGTGGAGCATCTATCTACGAACCAGGAAGTCAGGGTTCAATTCCCAGTTAGAGGCACATGCCTAGGTTGCGTGCTTGATCCCCAGTAGGGGGCGTGCAGGAGGCAGCCAATCAATGTTTCACTCTTATAGCTGATGTTTCCATCTCTCTTCCTTTCCTTCCTCTCTGAAATCAATAAAAATGTATTAAAAAGAAAAAAGGTTCTGTATTATGTCAACCTGAAATCTGCTTCCCAGCAGTCTACCTACTAGGACTGATGTTGCTTTGTTGAAGATTCTTAAGTCCCTTCCTACAGACTTTAGAAAATAGAACACCTAACATGCCACTAATAGCCAACTTTCTATTTCCTTCTAATAGCATCATTCCAGAGGCTCTCCATTCAGTAGTGGAGATGGACATACTGCTTTGACCATCTTGGTGTTAATACATGCATGCTCCTGTTTACACACTGAGACTTTGCCATTAAATCTAGTCCAACATTATGCATTATTGTATAAAACTGTTTAGTGATGTAACACTTAGAAGACAGGACTAAAAGGCAATGTTTACCTGTATTTGAGCGTCTCCTAATACCAAAGTCCCAACTTGAGGTAATATCGACTGACTGGGCATATACATAGCCCTGAGTCTCACCATTGCTTCCCTGAATGTCAGACTCACTGTCTCCAGTCATTGAAGGAGGATGAATCTTCTCTAGGTCAACATCATGATCAATGAGAACCATCTCACACATTCCTGTGTCATCACTGGTCACGTGTGACTGTCGAATATGAGCTAGAATGATAGTTGGATTGTCCAAGAAGGCCATCCTTTCTGTGGGCCAGTTTCCTTAAAAGGCTATTTTCTCCTCTTCATATTGTTACACAGGCGCACCTACCTAGAAACACGATGTGCACAGCAATATTTAAGAATAAGGCAGAATAATTTTTCAAACAAATACAATGTGGTAAAATGCTACCTTGAAAATCAACATTTATTCCTGTACCTAGGAGCTTAAAAGGATTAAGTCTAAGCTGAAAGGAAATCCTTATCGACACTAAGAGCTAAGGCTCCAGTCAATGAGGTCTCCTCTTGCAAAACAAATAATAGTAACTCCTTAGTCCACTCAAGATATACAACTACCGTTAAAACAATACACTTTCCTTTCTTTCTCCCTTTATTCCATGCAGTCTCCTCATCACTTTAAAGGTGATAAATGAACAAGTTGTATTTTCTTCAAACGACATGCTGAAGTATTAAACTGCATATTTCTTCAGTTTACATTCCCCCATCATATATGGTTGTGAAGTATCTAATAGGGCACAGACAATGCTTTCTGAGTTACTAGGAAATTTACAAAAATGTACTACCAAAGTAATTTTGTTCAATAAATACATGCTCCTTTCTTCTGATTTAAAATAGTATTGTGCTTTTTAAAATAAAACTTATTAATCAAACTTGTCTCTTACTAGATTAATTTCTTATTTTAGAAACCTAATTATAAGAACTGCTTCCTGAACCCTATTAAAACTGCAATGCTGTTTATTTTGGGAACAAGATGGTACCGCCTCAGTTGTATGGGAAGAAAATATTACAGAACAGTGGTGAAGAACCTAAGGCCCTATACGCAAAACTGGGTTCAAATCCTGACCCTATCACTTGCTAGCTATGTGATGTTGGTCAAAATAACGTTAACCTCTTTCAGCCTGTTTTCTTTACTTATAAAACGGGAGTCTCATACAGAAGATAATGCAGATAAAGTGCTCAAAAGAGTACCTGGCAATAACTAAATATTAGCTGCTATAATTTCAGCTTTCAATTTGTGTTTCAAGTAACCCTAAAATACATCAACAATTTGCCCTTCTCTAGTAAAGTCACAGCAGGTAAATCCAGGGTGTGCTTCCTTTGGGACAGAGGACTCTGCAGGTCGTCTGAGTCACCGCCCTGCTCCTCTAAACCGTTAGGAAGTACAACAATGGGAAAGCTGGATTGAATTTGTTCCTTCAACAGTCCTGGAATTTATTTTTAGAAAGACCTATATAACACCAGCTTTTCTTGTCATTTGTTTCTTCTAGAAATGGAACATGGGGGAAATCTAGTTAATAAATCATTATAGCTAACAGGTTTTAAAATTTTCTGTCTGGTAATATATTCTATTGGCATCACTCGGTGGTTAAAAATAAAGATACTGAGATTAAGAAAAAGTTTAACCAAGGAGCATCTCTAACCAAGTGAATTACATTATCGCAGTTTTTTCCTAAATATATTTACTGAGGTCCTAGCTGGCTTGGCTCAGCCTTTGGATTGAAGGGTCCCAGGTTTGATTCTGGACAAGTGCACATGCTTGGGTTGTGGGCTCGATCCCCAGTAGGGGGTGTGCAGGAGGCAGCCAATCAATGATTCTCTATCATCATTGATGTTTCTATCTCTCCTTTTCCCTTTCTCTCTGAAATCAATAAAGAAATATACTTAAAAATAAAAATATGTATCCACTGAGTACTTATTTTACACAGGGGCTAATGGGAAATGCAAAGTTAAGGAATCCATGAATGAAAAGTTTATATCCTAACACTCACCCAGTATGTCTCTGAATACAATGTGATTCTTCTAAGTGTCAAGTTTCTGAGGCATTCAGTCTCAGAAATGTTAATGTCAGCTCGCCATTTTAAATAGATTAATAAAAAAATATTACAGAATTTGCCCTGGCCGGTGTGACTCAGTGGTTACAGAGCCTACTTGAGCACTGAAGGATAGCAGGTTTGATCCCAAACACCAGTCAGGGCACATGCAGGAAGCAACCAATCAATGTCTCTCTCTCTCTCTCACTCTCCTTCTCCCTCTCCTCACTCCCTTCTACTCAATGGAAAAAAATATCCATTAACAAAAAAAAACAAACAAAACACAAAACATTTAAATTTCATTTATAAAAATAAAAGCTTCTGCCCGGCCAACGTGGCTCAGTTGGCTGACATTGGCCTATGAAACAGTAGGTCATGGCTCAGTTCCCAGTAGGGCACATACCTGGGTTGCGGGCTCGAACCCCTGTACGGGGCTTTGCAAGAGGCAGCCAAACAATGATTACTCTCTCTCTCTCACCCTCTCCCTTCCTCTCTGAAATCAATAAAAATATACTTTAAAAGTAAATAAATAAAAACTTCTTATTTAGCCTCAAAATAATGTATACAACCACAGAATTACTTATAAATGAGAGTTTCTGTTTTGTTACAGAATCATAGGTTCAAAGATCACCAGAGCTTCAAATACCCTCACTACAGTCACGATAAGCGTCTACCCCATAAAAGGAAGGCAACTAGCTGCCAGCAAAAGAGGGGCAGATGCTTTCAACCTGATATTGAATAGTTCTCCCCTGCAAGAACAGGGGCTTCAGCAAGGAACTACACGTTTAATGGATGTTCTGGCGCTGAAGAGTCAAACAGCACAGGGCAAAGCAACAAAAGTAGTATACTGAATACCCTCCTTCTTTTCAAGGAAAACGGACCTGCTCCATCACTTCTCATGAAGAAAAGAGTTATGGACAACACTTGTGATGGCACACACCAACTCCCTAATTTTATCCTTACAGAACTAAGCCCTTAAACTAAAGCATCCCAACACGAAAAGATATCTTCTCTATTAATACATTATGACTTCACACAATGAGGAATCTGTATGACTCACTCAACAAATAATGCATTCAATACCAGTTCTTTAAAAAAATATATATATTCCTATTGATTTTTTTTTTTTTTTTTTTTTTTTTAAAGAGAAGGAGTGGAAGAGAAGCATCGATTGGCTGACTCCTGAATGCTGCCTGCCAGGGATCGAGCCTGCAACCTGGACACATGCCCTGCCTGGGAATCGAACAGGCAACCTTTCGGTGCATAGGATGACGCCCAACCAACTGAGCCACACTGTCCAGGGCAATCCTAGTTATGGTAGGGGACTCCCCACAGGATGCCTGGGAAATGTGCTTTCCACCTCCTATGACAAGTCCTTGAGGATTCAGACTGTCAGTCTCAAAGACAGGGGCTATAACACCACATCCCTGCTGGCAACAAAGGATCCTATACATTTCAGGAATTCAAAAGATGTCTCTGCCTGACTTCCAAGGACTCTACACTTCTGTTGTAGAGATTAGACATATATGAACATGTCATGTGTAAGAGAGATTATAAAGAAAGGATTGCCTTTTTTCTATTAATACAAATACAAGAACTCTTCAATGTGCTCTTCAAAACTGTCACCTTGGGACACTGTCAACTTATTCCAATACTACTTTTTAAAACCGAATAATACGTTTTAAATCACTTAAAGAGCAGCAAATTATCATTTGAAGGTAGATTTGATTTCTAACAGAAAGATATTCTAAACACAGATTAAAACAAGTTATTTTCTCTCATCAGTTGTAAAAAGATTAAAAATGTTTAAAATTAATGTTGGCCGGGGCTCAGAAAAATGGACTTTTTAATGGGCAATTTAGATAAAAAAAAGTTCTGTAAGATAGAGGTGGTGTTTGCACAACAACGTGAGAATACTTAATGGCCTTGAACTGTACACTTGAAAATGGTTAAAATGGTAAATATTATGTTTATATATTTTACCTCATTTTAAAATTTAAATTAAAAAAAAAAAGAACTACAAAGGGCCAGATTAAACAAAATTAAATGTTTTCTTCTTGCTGTTTATAGCACTTTTCAAAGCTTTTAAACTACGAATGTATATTGTGAAGCTCCAAGAGTGGAGAATCTAGTAACACAACATATTCCAAATCCCAAACTTATCTGATCCCTAAACATTCTGAACCCTAACACGAATCAAATCGAAGAGCTTGCGATCTTAACCACTATACAGCCTCTCTAAACAAAAGAACAAAGAATTATAATAGTTATAATAAATATGATTTTTAAATGACATTGAGCTCTTGAGTTCTGGGGCCTGAGAGAAATTTCTTCCATGGGTCTCTTTTATTTATTTATTTTATTGATTTCTCCCCTCCCGTCCCCCCACAGAGGAAGGGAGAGAGAGTGGGTTAGAGAGTTATAAACATCGATAAGAGAGAAACATCGGCCGAGACCGGTTTGGCTCAATGGATAGAGCGTCGGCTTGGGGACTGAAGGGACCCGGGTTCGATTCCGGTCAAGGGCATGTACCTTGGTTGCGGGCATATCCCCAGTAGGGGATGTGCAAGAGGCAGCTGATCGATGACTCTCTCTCATCGATGTTTCTACTCTCTATCTCTCTCCCTTCCTCTCTGTACAAAATCAATAAAAATATATTAAAAAAAAAATTGTTCTAAAATTAAAAAAAAAAAAAAAAAAAAAAAAAAAAAGAGAGAAACATCGATCAGCTGCCTCCCGCACACCTCCTATTGGGGTGAGCCTGCAACCAAAGTAAATGCCCTTGACTGGAATCAAACATGGGACCTTTCAGCCCGCAGGCCGACGCTCTGTCCACTGAGCCAAACCGGTTAGGGCTCCATGAGTCTTTATGAAAGATGTAAGACAGCAAATGTATTATGCAGTAAACTAGACCCTTACTTAGCCTCTTCCGCTAATGCAATAGAGAATTGTTGTAGAGCAAGATACAAACAGTGCATGCAATGATGGCTCAAATATAAAAGTCACAACATTTTACACACGAAAAGAACTTCAGAGATCATCTACTTGTTGACCTAAAACCACAGATGAGTGTCCTTTAAATTCTCAGTTAGGTCTAACTATCTTTTTGTAAAAATCCCTACAGATTTGTGCAACTTCAGCTACAAAGTCCATACCTAAAAATTCCGTTTCTTCTGTTTCTTTAAGTCACATGTGTCAAACACAAGGCCCGCGGGCCAAATCCGTCCCGCCAGGCCTTGCAATGTGGCCCGCACCACGCTGTCATCACTGCACTCCGCTGCGTTTCCATCACAATGACAGTTTATGACTGTTCAGTAAACCATTCGGCCCGCGATTTAGGCTGGATTTTAGATTTTGGCCCCTTCTCTGATTGAGTTCGACACCCCTACTTTAAGTAACCCCCATGAGCAAATGAGCTCTAAGAACCTGAGATAGGCAGCAACATGGTTTAAAAGCTCAAGTTCAGCCAATGGCTAAAAGGAAATTCCGCTTCTTGAACTTTCAACACTGCAAACTCACTTCTCTGCCAGACAGACTTCAAGTCCCCTCACCTGCAATCTGTGAAAACTTGTCCAAATAAGCAACAGCCTGCGGCTTTTCAAAGGTCTGCAAACTCCCAATCAAAAATTACTGCTGCCCCATCAATGTGTCATATAAATGTTGGCATGTTAATTGTGTATTTATAAGATTGTTAATGGTTAGTTAATTTACCTCCCACACTATTATTGTACTTGAAATGATTTAACGTCTGCTGAGGGAGTTAACAACATGTAACAGCAGATGCAAGAATTTTTTTTTTTTTTTTTACCTTTCCACACTGTACCCCCACTTCATGCTATTAGCATTAGGCAAGTTAAACATGATTCCTATACAAGATTCCTTAGTGTTATAGAAGTACTCACATTTATTTTTCACAAACAGGAATGATCACGAGTTAGATATACAAAAGCCTTTTTATTATATGCAAAGTCTTCCAACAGACCCTTTTTTAAACTAAGATTTCAACATTCTTCAATCTAGTTAAAGTTTTGAACTCATACCTTTTGGAATTTGAAAATAATTGAAATGACCATTAAAATAAAATGCACCTTATTGCTTTAAATCTCTTTTTCTAACACTCTCCAATTTAACTCTAAATTAAATCTTCATTTATTTTTTAGACCAGCAAAAAAAATTAAGCTTTTTCCCCTAGGGGAATTAAAATCTCCTCTATGTAAAAATGTCTAATTTCGTTACACAGTAAATAGCGAGGTCCTATATCTGGAGTTTACTTTTTCCTTTCACATTTTTACTTCTATATTTTAACTAAAGGTACTTATTAGACTAAATCAAATCAACAGAAGTGAAATGCTTATATCTTCTTTTGAATAAGAGGTTCATTCACTACATCACTGCGAGGCAGGCTCTGGGAATCCTACAAAAAATTATATAAACACTGGCCTGCATCCTCCAGAGACTGCTTTCACTGACCTAACAGCAACATAAGGCAATGCATACTAACCACCAAATGAGATGCAAAGACAATTATGTTTTCCGAGAAGGCTTCAGGAAGGAAGAGGGTCCCATTTAAGGATGGCCAAGCTTTCATTAGGCAGAATCACAGAGAACAGTAATAGATGACATTTACTAAGCTTGTCCTATCATCCTTACAACCAGCACAAGGTGTAGGTATTAATATTAGCTTCATTTTATAGGTATAATAAAATTAAGGCTTAAAGAAATTAAGTAACTTGTTCAAGGTCACATGTAGACTTTGAAAAGGCCAGTCTTCACAGCTCCTCCCAGAAGACTCACACTGTGATCTACTTTGCGCAACAGAATGCAGTGGAAGTAATATGGGACTTCTGAGCCTTGACGTCAGGAAAACTTGCAGCTTCTGCTATTGCTGAATAATATATTAATCATGGGGAGAAACCTGGGATAAAAGACTACATGGAGAAGCTTGGGTGTCAATCCAGCTTTCCTGCTGAGACCCCCTGATGAGTGACTTTAGGCAGCGGTCGGCAAACTCATTAGTCAAATATCAACAGTACAACGATTGAGATTTCTTTTGAGAGCCAAATTTTGTAAACTTCTTCTAACACCACTTCTTCAAAATAGACTCACCCAGGCCATAGTATTTTGTAGAAGAGCCACACTCAAGGGGCCAAAGAGCCTCATGTGGCTTGTGAGCTGCAGTTTGCTGACCACGGACTTAGGGCATCTGGAACCCACTAGACTAGGGGTGTCGAACTCAATCAGAGAAGGGGCCAAAATCTAAAATCGAGCCTAAATCGCGGGCCAAATGCGGGCCTTGTGTTTGACACATGTGCACTAGACCCTATCAGCCTGCCAGAGCAAGTCCTGTGTCCTAACCAATGTTTCCTTTGGGCAAAGGGACACTGACTCTTGATTTTTCTCTTCTTGTACCACTAACCTCCACCTGAAATGTCTCTGAATCTTACCATGTGCCAAGATCCAGTTAGAGGGATCCTGGTACAAGTACAGTGCTTCTCAAACTCTCCACGAACACACCTGAAGGGCAGAGGAGAGTGGGCATAAGTCAAGGTATGATAGAACCTAGGGAGAGCCACCTAGAGCTTCATGCTACAAAAAATTTATTTTTAGAATTTACTCATATTTGCATCCTATCCTATAATATACTACACCTAGAAAGAAGTGCTTTAGTTTTGAACTAAACTATAGAGTGCCATGCTTACTCTGCAGCTTCTAAAACCTCCTGGCACATACTGGGATTCCCATAACCCCACTTTGAACAGCAAGGTCTAGTGGAAAAATATAGACTTTGGTGTCAGAAATATCTAATTTTATGAAGATAAAATGGACAACTTAAGACCTAATTTTTGCTCAAGATACTTCTTATGAAGAACAACTGTAATTATGAACAGCAAACTACGTATATGTAAAGTTCTAAACACAAGTAAGACTGAAACTTCAACTATTATGCAACTGTTATAAAATAATCTATATTTTCAAAGTGTTTTTGAAATACTGTTTATTAACCACAGTAGCTGTGAAACTTCAGACAACCTAACCACCCACCACTCCCAAAACTCCGACAACTGTGGAGAAAAAGGACTTAGGCACACTTGTACTTTCTACAACTGTAACAGTTAATACCAAATATAATCAAAGGAGCTTAACTACTACCTCAGTGGGAATGGCGCTCCTAATATTGCTGTAAAACTTAATCTCCTTAACTGGAAAAAGTAGAAAAGGTACTTACAATGCAAATGACAAACATTACAGTCAAATCATGCATCAGAGTGAAAATAGATGGAAATCAGGGTTTTTTTAATCACCCCTCCTCCTACCCAAAGAATGAGACACACTTGGCGGAAATGCTGCTTACCAAGTAAAGGTTACTCTGAAATACTTCAAATTCCATAAGCACTCCAGATTGCAAAAACTGTGGGAAGAGAATGTTCCAAGCACAGACTAACGGACAGAAGGCACAGATGGAATAAACCCTGATACATGATGACTACCCTAAGAAAGTCTAATCTGAAAACTGAACATATTTGTTCTCAGGTCAGTAAACAAGGTTCAGTTTCTGAAAGATGTTCAAAATAACAAATTTTATAAGTCTAAAGTATAAATAGTAGGGATTTGTTGTTAAAGATAACTAAATAATTTCCTTCACATACTTCAGTGGTCAGCAAATTCATTAGTCAACAGAGCCAAATATCAACAGTACAACGATTGAGATTTCTTTTGAGAGCCAAAATTTTTAAACTTAAACTTCTTCTAACGCCACTTCTTCAAAATAGGCTCACCCAGGCCGTGGTATTTTGTGGAAGAGCCACACTCAAGGGGCCAAAGAGCCGCATGTGGCTCGCGAGCCACAGTTTGCCGACCACTAACCTAGTTTATATATACAGGATGGGCAAAAGTAGATTTACAGCTGTGAGTGTGTGAAACATGGTTTACTCTTGTATGATTATTAGCACGAAATTCCGTGCAAGGGGCTCGGCCATCGCGGCCCCAGATGCTCATGGCCCTGCCCACTGGTTGTTCTGAAAGGTCGTTCCCCTGTCCAGTCTAATTAGCATATTAGCACTTTATTATATGGGATTAGTGTATTCTTTTCCATAAGAACTCTAAACCTACTTTTGCCCAACCCTGTATAAATCTCTGTCACATTTCAAACTTAAGTTTTTATATATTTTATTTTTTTATATCAACAATTTTATTTACCATGTGTTTGTTGCCTATGCTTACGAGAATACAAGTTATAACAAATCAAACTTTATATTATCATTTTGGGGATGCGATCACCCTTTTAATTCTGGTCATATATTAACAAGGCAACTTTAACCCAGTAATCAAAGCTTCATTAGCTTGTAAACAAACTGTTTCTCAGGTAAACTGAATTGCACCACATCAGAAACTTAAGCAAATAAATAAATACAAAAAAGGCAGGGAATATAAATTAGGGCAGACAAATCTGTATCTAGCCTCATGCCGGTAAAGAGCATTCTATCAATATAGTGAAATGCTAATCTCCTAATTAACAACCTAATTAGGTAATTATGGCTTTGCAGAGGGATGCCGAAATGAAATATGACAACATGGTCACCTCTTTATATGGCACCTGTGGGCCTTTTCAGCTGTCATTGCAAAGAGTGCAATATCAATTTGAACAGATGACAAAGTGCTGTCATTTTTCATTCTGGTAATATACAGAATGCTTTGGACAGAAGCAGTTTACAAAAAGAAACATCTTGCCGGGTATTTTCCTAATTTAAATATGCTCAAATATTTTGTTAAATTTTTGCACACTTTTTATATTGTATATAGAATTACCATGCACATTTTTAAAAAAAACTTAACTGGCCATCATGCTTAACTGTACTTGCTGAAACAATTGAAATTTCAATGATGAAATATACAAAAATTAGGAAAAGCACCAATACATTATGACTTTTAATATTTATGCATTTTTTATATTACAGAAAAATTAAAATCCATACTTTGATCTTTAATTTTTTTCTTACAAAAATGGGAATTCACACCATTTTCTGTAACAAAAAAGCACTTCCCAATATCTAAGCATTCAACCCACACAAAAAACTCTATTCAAGGGTGGGAAAAATACAATTCTTTTTATGGAAAACAATACAATAATAAATAATAATACAACTGTAAGCCTACTTTTGCCTATAGTGTATATATCAATGCCTAGCCTCACAGATATGAGAGTGCACTCTCTTTGAAAAAGCCCTGGTTGGATGGCATGGCTCAGTGATTGAGCATTAACCTATGAACCAGGAGGTCACGATTCGATTCCCAGTCAGGCCATATGCTCTGATTGCAGGCTGGATCCTCAGTGTGAGACGTGCAGGAGGCAGCCAATCAATGATTCTCTCTCAACATTGATATTTTCATCTCTGTCACCTCTTCCTTCCTCTCTGAAATCAATAAAAATATTAAAAAGAAGTATGTAATACTTTCAACAATAAAGAATTTAAATTAAAAAAAGAAAAGACCTGTCACAGGACTACTCACTACCCACTGGCCATTAAAAAGGTGATGGCAGGTGGACGGGGACACTGGTACATTCCAACATGAACACAACTCTTCTTCCACAATATTGTCTTAAATAAGATTTTGTGGGAAGGACAGGAAGGCTAGCCAGGAAACCTCAACATCATTTATCTCAAGAAACATGAAACCAAATTCTAACAACAGAGGTGAAAACTAACTTGAAAATACAATCCTATATAATAAAAGCCAAATATGCAAACTGTCCCCTTGACCAGGCAACATGGTGCTGGCAGTGGGTGGCAGTGGAGATGCTGCCGGCCCCACTGGGCCCCGATGAGAGTGAGCCTCCCGTGGGATGGTGGAGCAGGTGAGCAGGCGGTGCCAGGCCTACACAGGTGCGAGCGGGGGAGAGGGGGGGGAGCGAGGGGGGGGATGGCAATTGGGGGCGACCAGGCTAGCAGGAGGTGGGGAGGGGAAAGAAGGGAGGAGTTAGGATAAATTTGACGAGTCTCATCATGGCAGGAGGGAGCTCTGGGTCTCGGCAGCACTCTGGGTCTCATACAATCAGGGTCGTGGCTAGCTTTCAAAGCAGACCCTGACAGGAGGGAGGAGGGAGCCCCATTCCTCGCAGAATCAGCCATTGGTTAGCTTGCTTAAAATGAATCCATAGGCAATTTAACTTGTTAAATTGTTTTGAATGTGTAAAATTCAGTCCATTTTGTCTGCATCAATAATAAAAGCATATTCATAAAAGTATACTCAAGTATAGGATATGAATTTAACACTGCATGTATGTATGGGTAAATGTGACATAATATCCAATTTATTTCACAAGTGATTAGTATAATTTAATTCCAATACTTATTCTAATACCTTCTCGCTGTTTCCAGAATTTAAGTTTTGTTTTATAAAAGGTTTCTCCCATTTTTCTCACTTTCAATTACTTAAAACTGTTTCCTTCTCTGGGTCCAAATTTTGTGTTTCCTATATTAAATCTATTTCCCCAATATATCTAGACTGCTGCCAACACAAGTTAATAAATTCTGAATGACTGCTCAGGATTTATTTTCTTCATTTTTATATTCCATGTTATGTCCTCATACAAGAGAGTGTGAATGAAAACAAGTATCTAGAAGACCAATATTTTTTTCCAATTTTCACCTGGTGGAAGCTGGGTATTAAAATAAAAATAAATTAAACTCTTGGGCTGGGAACTCCCTGGCCATATTTCTCTCACTATGCTGGGTGTCTCTATGCCCCCTTTCAATCTTGTGTATATATAGTCAACAAAGCGCCGTATGCATTTGGGAACACCTGGCCTGTCAAGGTCCTTTCCCACAGTAATGAACAAAGGACAGGGGAAGAGCTGAGCAGTAGCTCCCTACCTGCCAAGAGAGGAGAAGCAGCACTTTGTATCTGAACCATTCTCTACCCGGTAGGGATCCTCAAACTTTTTAAAGTGGGGGCCAGATCACGGTCCCTCAGAGAGCTGGAGGGCCGGACTATATGAACTACTAATTCCTACTGTAACACCTCGGCTGCGCTCACTGCCCAAAAAAACTGGCGGGCCGGATCAGACTCCTCTGCGGGCCGCATGTGGCCCGCGGGCCATAGTTTGAAGACGCCTGCTACCGGGTCTACCAGTAATCAGCTGTGTGACTTTAAGCATGTCACTTAGAATCAGAAAGCTTGGCATCCTGAGAAAACTTCAGCAAGACTTGATTTGAGTTCCTCATTATCATCCAAATGGGAAAAAAGATACAAAAATTTCTAAAGTGGCTCAACCAAAATCAAAAGGCTGTCAGCAGCATAGCTACAGTCAGACCTCAAGCCCCTCTCAGTCAAGTGCACTTTCTACTAAACTGTCTTTCACTGGGAGCCAATTTTTTAATCCCAAGAGGTTATGTTTACCCTCCATGTTCACTCCATGCCACTGTGCAGAGGACCAACGAGGCAAGAGCTTGTATAGCATTTAAAGTGCTAAAAGTATTACAAGGTCATTTCCTCATCAAGCCCCATCCCTCCTGAAATCTAGTCTGATTATATAATAAAAGCATTCGCCCTGCCACTTCCCCAAAGACATCAGTTCGAGTCAATTTTAAAAGCCTCTCACTCTGGCAGTTTACCAGTACACTTCCATCAGTAATCCCGACTTGAGTTGTACCTCCTCCTTTGGACAGTGGGTACCAAAGTTTCAGCGATAAAGTACATCAGAGTTCACAATCAGACTGCCCAGGACTGTACACAGCACACAAACGAGCTTTAGTCCACACAGTAATTTTGTAAATTTCAAATTTTTTAAACGAAATATATACATTAAAACCCAGCTTTCGCTGGGTAGCTCAGCTGGTTAGAGCATCAAGCTTCTACACCGAGGTTGTGGATTCAATCCCCAGTCAGAACACATACAAAAATCAACCAATGAATGCACAAATAAGTGGAAAAACAAAGAGATATTTCTCTCTCTCCCTCTCTCGCTCTCCCCAAATCTCTGAACCCTCTCTCCCTACAATAAAAATTTAAAATTTTTTTTAAATAAATACATTAAAACCCAGATTTCTAGCATCTCTTCTTTTGTTGTTGTTAATCTTCACCTAAGGATATTTTCCCCATTGCTTTTCAGAGAGACTGGAAGGGAGGAAGGGAAGGGGGTGGGGGGATAGAGAAGGAGAAAGAGAAAGAGAGACATTGATGTGAGACACAGTATTAGTTGCCTCCCGTGGGGGATGGGGTGGGAATAAGGGAGGTAGTGAACTGGCAACCAACAGCTGTCTTCAGACTGGACGTATGCCCTCCAGTTCATCAAGATCTAGCCTACTTTCTATACTACATCATGGGCATTTGAGTTGGGGACTCCTGAGGCAGATGCTCAAAAGAAAACTAATGCAATAAATATCTGTTCACTCTTTTGGAAAGTCCAGGTTTTTTTTCTGGCATTCTCACTCACTAGCTATGTGATTCTTGGATACCCTACCTAATCACTAAGATTCATCACCTATCTTAGAGCATCCTGAAAACATTTAACAACGACCAGAACATAAGTGCTCAATTATAATTATTTTAAATTGAACACAAGTTGAAATGAGCTCATCTTTATGTCAAAACTTCTGAAAAACTCATGCCGAAACCGGTTTGGCTCAATGGATAGAGCATTGGCTTGGGAACTGAGGGGTCCCGGGTTCGATTCCGGTCAAGGGCATGTGCCTTGGTGGCGGGCATGTCCCCAGTGGGGGGTGTGGAGGAGGCGGCTGATCGATGACTCTCTCATTGATGTTTCTAACTCTCTATCTCTCTCCCTTCCTCTCTGTACAAAATCAATAAAATGTATTTTTTTAAAAAATTAAAAAAAAAAAAAAACAACTTCTGAAAAACTTAAAACTCACAGGAAACTTAAGGTCAGAGAATCTACTACGGGGAAAAAAACATAATGTGACAGAATTCCTTGTCATATAATTGGCATCTATTGCTGTGTTCTTAACAATAAGGCCTATATATCAGAATAACAGGGTTCCAGCAAATTCTCAGCCTGAACTTTTAGAAATCCACTGAAGTACAACAGTTTCTGAAGTCCTCAGATATGAGTCAACTAGCAAAGCAAACCCCCCGATAAAAAGAAATGTATTTAACATCACCAATAAGGCAGTGAGCTCCTTGAGTGCAGGGGCCACGTTCATTCCTCAACATCCCCATTGCCCAGCACAGGGACCAGCTCACTGGAACAGCTCAAGGGCTAGCTCTTCTCTGAAGCCTCTTCAGAGGGTCCCCATCCACACCACAGAGAAGAGTGGAGATTCCAAAGAACAGATTATCTAACAGATAATCCCCTCTACTCACAGCCCCAACAGCTGCATAAACTCGTGGAATTTATTTAATCTCTCTGTACTCTAGTTTGCTCATCTGTAAAACACACACTTTCCGGTAGAGAAATAACTGAGACAGTCCTTTTAACACAATGCTGGCACATAGTAAGAGCTCATTAGCTATCATTATCAGTGTTCCCTCTTTTTGTCCTCCTTGGTATCCTTGGGGATTGCTATCTTTGTACCTAAAGTACTTCATTCACTACAGTTCACCTGCACACAAACATGTCTCCCCGACTAGAATGTCAACAACCTCAGAGTAGGAACCTGATTTGATTCCTCTTTGCATTCCCAGGGTCTAACATTTTCCCCGTCACTGTGGAATGAATGACAGATCCTCTGAGTATTTATTAAGTAGGAAAGTTGTAAGAAGAAACTGGAATTTACCTCTCTTGCCTGAAGCTCAATCCCTCACTGACAAGGACCTCTAGGGACCCTCCGACTTTACCTTCCAGGATCCCCACATAAAAAGAAGCAATGGCTTGCTTTCTTAAGGCTGCTCCACTAACCGCTCTAAAACCATGCCAGTCGTTGCACCTTTGCATCTTAGAATAATCATTTCAGAGTCCTTTTATCAATCCTTTTATCCACATTAGCTTATTACATATTCACAATACTCCATGAGGTCCACATTATCCCAACCCATACTTGAGGAAAATAATGCTTAGAATTAAGAAACTTGCCAAAGGTCACATATCTAGCCAGAGGAGGAACCAGGAATCGAATACAGAGGTCATGGTTATTCTCTACACAACGCCTTCCTTGCTCCTATTCAAAGCTGAGCTGACCCATCTTCTACCCTCTTGCTTTGAAAGATCATGGTCTTCCCTACATTTAAAAGAACATCTATAGCATTAATTTTAAAAAATATATATTTTATTGATATTTTACAGAGAGAAAGAGATAGAGAGCTAGAAATGTTGATGAGAGAGACACATCGACCAGCTCCCTCTTGCACACCCCCTACCGGAGATGTGCCTGCAACCAATGTACATGCCCTTGACCGGAATCGAACCTGGGACCCTTCAGTCCGCAGACTGACGCTCTAGCCACTGAGCCAAACCAGTTTCGGCTATAGCATTAATTTTGACACTCATATTTCTTTCTCTAGTATACCTGTTTCAATATATACTTAATATCAAGAGCTATGGTGTGAGAAAGAAGGCAAAATACATAATGAAAAAAACACAGGTGTAGGCATCAGACAGACCTGGGTTTGAATCCTGGCTGTCTTGTGCCAGCTGTGTAATTTATCCTGAGTCTTCCTAATCTGTAAATTGAGATTAAAATGATTAAACAAGAGAAACCTCTATGTCATACCCAGTACACGGTAAATAATAAAGCTTAGTTAACCCCACATAACGAAGCATTACCTGGCCACAGCACACTCCTCAAAAACAAATGACTCTCCCTCCCTCTCCCCCTCCCTCTCCCCCCCTTCTATGTTATCACTGTTATCATAGAAAGAATGCTCACACCATCACTCTGTGTTGGAATTATTTAACCCTTATCTCTCTCACTAAATTGAGCTCCTTGCTACAAGGACTGAGCCCTATTGGCCTCTACATTGTCTGGCATGGTACCTGGTATATATCCATGCTCAGTAAATGCTTGCTAAGCAAAGTAAGTATAGATATGATGAGTGTTTATAGGATTCTAGAAAAGAAATAATTTCCAGCTAGGGTTGTACTGAATTGGTTGACGGGGGCCCAATTCAGCTGGGTCCTGGGTAACATCTCAGCAGCTCACAACAGAAAAGGAGAAGCTTCTGGGCAGGGAGAATGTCCTATAAAACAAGGGACGAAGAAAAGAACAAATATGACTGGAGATGCTACTTGAGTAAAGGATCAGGGTAGAGTCATTTGGGAAGGGGACCTGTTCAAGCACAGCTGGAACTTTAGCCGGCACCAGGTCAGGAGGAGGAGAGGAATGCACATTCAGTCTGGGATCGCAGCAGTTGAAGGTAGGCCTGAGCACAAAGCTGAATGGAAAAGGGGCCACCTGCATGCCTCAGAGGCTCCAGCAAGCTTGCAAGTGTGTAAACAAAAAAAATGGAAAACAATGATCGATGCTTCATCAAGAACTCTTTCAGCATGTATTGAGCATCTCCTGAGGGCTCGTTGTGTATGAAGCATAAAGGACGGTGTCTCCTTTTCCCGCTCCAGTGGGTTTTTAAATGAGGAACCCACCCTTTTTGCTTGTCAGAACAGAATGCGCGTGTTGGTTTTGTTTGAACTAATGCTTTAATAAACACCTGTCTCCACTTGACCATTCACACCCGGGGAAGTTTTGAACTTTGCTGGTTTTGATTTACAACATGATGCTTTTTGCACGGTGTCGTAGGCTTAAAAAACGACTTGGGTTCATTCAGAATGAAATGTTAACCAATTTCTGAGTCAACTTTTTGGGCTCAGGTTGAAGTATTAGTCTTGTTTAAGCTATAATCATTTTTTTCTACTTTAAACAGATTTAGGATACTCTTTGCCACTCCCCCAAAGAAAAAAGCTGAATCGAAGTTACAGCAGCACTCCACCAAGAAAAAAAACAAAACAAAAAAACAGTTCTGCAAGGCCAATGACCCCATTTGTGGCAAATGGAGAGGAGGCGCTAGGAACCGGAGGCCACAAGGACAATACTTTAAAAACTTAATTTTCATATTGTAAAGATCAGAACACCTAAATGTGGAGCCAGAAACTGCCAGGGCCAATAGCATCCTCCTCCCTCCTCTCACTCCTCCCCAACACTACCAGAACCACGAGCCTCTCCTCCCCCAGATCACACACCCAGCTAGCTGTCACTCACAGCAGCCTCCAGGCTGGAAAAGGCCAGGAAACGGATGCTCACGGGAGACCTGAGCAAGAGCCAGACCAGCTGCCCGCCCGGCAGCGTCGGGCGCAGAGGAGTGCGGAGCCGCTAGGCTCTCCAGGTGGCCGGCAGGAGAGCGATCAGCAAGGTAGCGGCTGGGGCAACCTTTACCTGAAGGTGCAGCCACACTACCGGCCGGGGCGGCCCGGGACACGTTCCTGGGGGGCAGGGTCCGGCTCCTCTGTGCCTCTCGGCCCTAGCCCCGAACTCCCGGAAACCTCGGGGGCTGGCGATCCTCCCGGCCGGCTCAGCTGCCGCCTTCCGGGCTCGCCCTCATGCCCCCGCTGCTCGCCGCCGCCCGCCGGCAGAGTAGCAGCTCAGTTGGCCCGAGTCGCGCCGCGACCCGGAACCACAACTCATGCACCGGAAGTCCCCGACTGGGAAGGAGCTGCTGGCTGGGGACGCAGTGCGCAAGCCCCAGAGCTGGGAGCGGAGAGTGGAGCCCTCCCAAGGGGGCGGGGCCGAACGGAAAGCCGTGCGCATGCGCGCCACTTTCCTGGCGCCAGGTGAGGCCTTGGTCAGAGACTGGCTGAGAGTCTACCCCTGGACTTGGGTAGGTGAAAATCAGTGCTAGCTTTCGGCTGTTACCTAAAACAAGGTAACCTCCCACCTGTACAGTAGTTCCAATTTTAGAGTATTGTGGTGAGACTCGAACAGGATGAGGCTTTAAAAACCCCACACACAGTGCCTGACACAATAAACACTTAGTAAATGTTCGCTATTGCTCTTATTATCTGTAAAAGGGAGAGGATACTGAAGGGCGGTGTCCAAAAGCTATGAGGACTGACAGAACAGGGGCTCATTGTTTGTGGGGTCTCTTTCTCAGCGGGAATCCTTGGGAGAAGCCATCTGCAGGGGAAATAACTCAAATGCAATGATACATCTCTCCTATCTGAGAGATAGTCCAGAAAGTCTCTTTCAAAAATGCACCATGCCGGAACCGGTTTGGCTCAGTGGATAGAGAGCATCGGTCTGCGGACTGAAAGGTCCTGGGTTCGATTCCAGTCAAGGGCATCCATCGTACATTGGTTGCGGGCACATCCCTGGTAGGGGATGTGCAGGAGGCAGCGGGTTGATGTTTCTCTCTCGTCTATATTTCTAGCTCTCTATCCCTCTCCCTTTCTCTCTGTAAATAAATAAATAAATAAATAAATTTATTTAATAATAAATATAATAAATAAATATAATAAATAAATATAATAAATATAATAAATAAATATAATAAATATATTTAATAAATAAATATATATATATTTATTTATTTTTTTAAATACACCTTAGGGCCCTGGCCTGGTCTGAGTTGGTTAGAGCATCTTTCCCATACACAAAGGTGGGGGGTTCATCCCCCTTTGGGGCACATACAAAAAAGCAACCAATGAATGCGTAAGTAAGTGGAACAACAAATTGATTTTTCCCTCTCTTTCTCAACTCTATCAATAAATACAAAAATTTTAATGCATCTTAGCACACAAAAAAAGAAAAATCAAGACTGAATTTCAGCCCAGAGGGATCCTTACCCAATATTGAAGTCACCAACAAATACACCATGGATCTACCCTTATTTTCAAATATAAATAATCTCTTAGCTCATGGGAGTGAGGGGAAATGCACCTTAAACACCCAAGTGCATTCCTGCACACACATCACCACCGTTCCATTGGGGGCCTGTAAGAGGCACTCTGCCAAAGCCAAGGGTATAAACACGGTTTGATAGTCTGTTTTCTGGAGTCACCAGATTATTTCACCTCTCCTAAATATTAATCTTAATTTTCACTTCCATCTTGAGCTCCAGTCTGAAGCACAGCTACCTGATTGCCCCTCATTCACATAAAAGCCAAACTACCCAACTGGACACACTGAGCACATCCACTCTACCGCTCACAAATGTCCTGACTTCATCTTTCCAAGCTGCCGCTCTAAAATTCCTTATCTCTAAAATGGGAATGACAAAAGTCCTAACTAACCCCATTGGGTTGCTGTGAGGATTAAATGAGCTAATACATGTAACTCACATAGAACAGAGCTCAGTATAAAGCTAATAACATTTACTAATATTTACATAAAAAGCTTACCACTATTACTATACCTTAGTCAGTAAGCAAGTACTTATTGAGTGCCCGTAGATTAATAAGGCACTGGAGATTCAGTGGTGAAAAACAAGGCAGGGACTCCAGCTTCACAAAGCTTATAGTAAAATTTGACTATGTTGACTATATGGAGTGCAGGGAAATGTCAAATTTCAAAGACATGGTTGAGGGCCTCATTGAGAATAGAGACTGAATTTATGGTGATACTAATATAATGCTTTGTGTGACTTTTCTACACGTAGTCAAGATACAGACACACAAATGGTGAGCAGTTGCTTTGATTCAAGGAAGGAGTTTTGCCAGACAGGTGTGATGGAGTCAAGGAGTTTAAGATCTCAGCTTTTAAGAGTGCCTTAAACAAAGGGCCCCAGAATTCCAGAAAGGTTCCTATCACTGACCCGAAGGTCCTGGAATGGGTGAAATGGGAGTCAATGATGGAGCAAGGCAGAAAGATGGAGGTTATTCTCAGAGATGGATGGTTCAGTGAATCACCTCAGATGAAGAGCCATGTGAGAGCGGGGTCCTGGCTGAAATAGAATTGGAGATGAGATGGTCAAGGGACTGAGATGCCACCATAAACCTCAAGAGCTCCTAGGAAGATGGATGGATCTGAGGTGAAAAAGAAATGGGTGCTTCCCAAGCCATTCTGCAACTGAGGGAGGGAGACAGACAAGGAGGAGAGAGGGCGAGCCAGCTGTATGGCTTAGCCTCCAAAAAGAAGGCGTTGTTTCAGACAGTTGAAATGGCATTAAGAAGCAAAGCAGCCCTGGCCCGTGTCTCTCAGTGGTTAGGGTTCTGGCCCGAGCAGCAAAGCCTCAGGTTTGATTCTTTGTAGGTTGTATCCCTGGCCCCAGTAGGGGCATGTGCGGAAGGCAATCAATTGATGTGTTCTCTCCCACCAATGTTTTGCCCTCGCCCTCACCCAGCCTCCTACCTTTCCCCTCTCTTAAAACAACAACAAAAACAATCAGTGGACAAAGTATACTTGGGCAGAGATTAACAACAACAACAACAACAACAACAAAAAGCAAAGCATACAATAACCTAGGTGCATGGGGATAAGACCATAGCAACTGACGCACAGAGAAAAAGTATATTTTGACAGCACACCGACTGAGCTGGCTGAAGGGGGACTCCAACAGACCAGCGGGCAGAGGGGCTGAAACCTCACACACCTATGACAATCAGGTTTCATAGACTTCAGCTCCTGTTTGGAAAGGAGGCCGTGGGAGGGATTGGAGATTCCTTTCCTTGTGGTTCCCAGGACTAGAACTGAGACAACAGATAGAGGTTCGAAACAACTACTAGCTGTGTGGCCTTCAGCAAGTGATTTGCCACCTCTATATCTCACTTTCCCCTTCCAGGTTCCCTCAATTCCTGCTCAAACCTTAAAGGCCCTTTTCCTCTCCACTGAGTAAATTCCTTTTCTCCCCTACCCCCAAACTCCTCCTCCTTCTGCTCCTCCTCCTCTTCCTCTTCCTCTTCATTCTATTTATTGGCTTAAAACACCATGTATTATTTCTCAGGGTTTTGTGGGTTGGTGGCTTGTTCTTCCGCCAGTCTAGACATTCAGTCAGATGGCAGCTAATATGGTTGCAAGGTCTGTGGTGCCTGGACATGCTGGGCAGAGCTGCTTGGCTTTTTCTCTTGTACAAAAACGTGGTGGTGATATTCTAAAAGGAAAAGCCCCAATGTGTTTTAAAAAATATTTTCATTTTACATATGTATATACATATATATGCCATTTTAATCATTTTTTAAATATATTCTTTTTTTAAAAAATATATTTTATTGATTTTTTACAGAGAGGAAGGGAGAGAGATAGAGTTAGAAACATAGATGAGAAACATCGACCAGCTGCCTCCTGCTCACCCCCCTACCGGGGATGTGCCCGCAACCAAGGCACATGCCCCTGACCGGAATCGAACCCGCGACCCTTCAGTCCGCAGACCAACGCTCTATCCACTGAGCCAAACCTGTTTCAGCTCTTTTTATTCTTGAAGACCCAATTCATATAGAGCTTCCTCCAGGAAGCTTTCCAGATCATCTCTTCCTAGCAGGCCACCTGAAGCGCATCATTCTCTGTGCTCAACATTTCTCACATTTTCTGTGTACTTTCTATATACTTCCATCTCCCTGGCAGGACATAAGGGAGGGGATGTGCCTTATTTCTTTTTATATACTAAAGCCTTAAACTAACATAAACACTTGGTAAAATGCTCGCTAAACGAAAAGCTACTCCAAACATGCACTTGAAAGGAAGCACTTGGAAATGGCGTTTTGTATGAGCAGAATTTGCACCTGGGAAATACCACTTTGCCAAGCCTGTGACAACAAGCTGAGAGGAAACGTCATAAAACGAAAATAACTCTGGCAAGCCCCCCCCCCCCCCGTCCCCCTCCCCTTCCAGAGCGGTGGAATGGAGGTGTCTTCGAGTTTCTTTGCAAATGTGTGTTCTTAATATTTTATGTGTGTGAATATGTTTCCCTGCTACTTTCCCAATGTTGGTTTCCTCTACTTTTGAAATATATTTTCCTCCCATAGGGAAAACATAGGCATTTATACTCCTATGGTATAAAGCAATTTCAGGATAACGGTAAATCAGGTACAAAAATCCATTCAGCCGAAACCGGTTTGGATAGAGCGTCGGCCTGTGGACTGAGGGGTCCCGGGTTCGATTCCGGTCAAGGGCATGTACCTTGGTTGCGGGCACATCCCCAGTAGGGGGTGAGCAGGAGGCAGCTGGTCGATGTTTCTCTCTCATCGATATTTCTAACTCTCTATCCTTCTCAATGCCTCTCTATAAAAAATCAATAAAATATATTTTTAAAAATCCATTCAAACTATTTGAAAGAAGCTCCCAAGAAGTGTACAATTTCAGAGAAATAGAATATTTTTTCAAATTAAAATAATATTTTAATGGGAAGAATTTTTTAAAGTACATGTATTGCTTATAGTGAGGTGAGTTTGTGGGTGCAAGGGAAGCACAAAATTAACCAACCTGAAAATCTTACAGATAACACTTTCTTGATACTAGTTAAGGTCAGCTCTGGGAGCTCCACAGAGATCCATGGAGCTTTTGTGTTTTTGTGCTGAATGTGATTTCTGGTGAATATCCTTTTTTTAGGCCCTTGGGTTGAAAAATGAAACATCTGGTTGGTATTTAGTATGTCTCTGGCTATATTTATATATAAATGTAGTCCCTGTCCCAAATCCAGGCCCTGTAACCATCTGCTAATAGTATCTTTCCTTGCTTTAAAGG